TTCTTTCTTTCTTTCTTCTTCCTTTCTTCTTCCTTTCTTCTTCCTTTCTTCTTCCTTTCTTCTTCCTTTCTTCTTTCTTCCTTTCTTCTTTCTTCCTTTCTTTTTTCTTCCTTTCTTTTTTCTTTCTTTTTTCTTTCTTTTTTCTTTCTTTTTTCTTTCTTTTTTCTTTCTTTTTTTTTTTTTCCTTTCCATCCCCCCACACTGCTATAAACCTTCCCGGTCTCAACGCTTTTTAGCCTTTCTTTTTCCACTCCTTGGCTGGAAGCATGGGGATGAGACTCTGGTTTCTTTTGCAAGCAAACCCAGTGGTTTGCACCCATTCTCGACACCGAGGCCCCAAGGCTTTCTGCCTAGCACTGATTTAATTCAGCTTTTTCTTGATGCACCTGGTGTTGGCAGGGGGAGAAGATGCTCAGACGAGCAGTGTTTGGCCTGGGAGCATAGAGGGCTATTAAATGGGGGTAGTGTGTGTTGCACTGGGGGGTAGCACATATTACATGGGAATAACATGTTGCATGCGATAAAACGTTGTCTTGGGATAACATGTTGCATGTGGGTAACGGTGCATGGGGGTAACACGTTAGCCTGGAATAATAGGTGTTAAATGGGGATGACACCTGCTGAATGGGGTTAACGTAGGTTATATGGGGATAATATATATTGCATGGGGAGAGCACATGTTATATGAGGAGAACACCCAAGTTAGATGGGGATAACACATCTTATATGAGGGTAACACACATTAAATGGGGATGACATATGTTGTGTGGGGATTATACTTGCTAAATGGGGGGTAACATGCATGAAACRGAGCAGATGTGCTTGCGAGGAGGGCAACCCTTGCTGAAAGGGCTCCTGAGCTGGGTCAGCTCTCCAGAGAGCAGAGCGGGGCAATTCCCAACTTCCATCCCTGTGGCTGAGACCTATTTAATGCCATAGTTTCCTTTAAAGGCGCCAGAGCAAGAGCCCTGAGGTCCCCCAAGATGCCAGGGATGTCACCACGCAGTGGCTTCCCCTGCAAAATGGGATTTTCTAGCAGCACGTGAACGAGTTCAGCTCTTCTGCAGCTGTGCATGGAGGTTTTTGGTAGAATGGAGGTAATGGGGGAATAAGGAATAAGGCCCCTCTGTGCCCTGCATCGCCCCCAAATTTCCCTAGCCCCGGAGGGATGTAAAGTACCCTCCGCCTGAACACCCCTCATCAACAGCAAAAGAAGAGAACAGGCCCCAAATCACTATAATCCTCCTTTTATTTTCCACTTGGAGTGAATATGTGACAGCATCACGCACGAGTTTATGTTCGTTTAAAAAAAAAATAATAATATCATACTGCATTTCCACGCACCCTCCCCCCCCMAAAATACATTTGGAATAACTGGTAACAGGTAATAAATGTAAACCGCACTTGGCACCATTTGGCTCAATAAATAAAAACAAAAATGTAAAAATCAAAAGAAGAGAAGAGAGAGAAAGAACGCGTTACGTAGGCGGCACACTATGGGAGCTAAATAAATAACATAAGTTACTTCAAATAAATAGAGAGGATCTAAAATACAGATGCATTGCATCCACTTGTGCAGGCGGCCGAGGCGGAGCCGCCCATCCCGGGAGGGTCCCTGTGGCCGTGTCCGGCCTTCCCGAAACGAGTCACTTCTTTTTTCTTCATTTTTCCCCCTTTTCTTTTGCCTTTTTTTTTTTTTTTCTTTTTTCCATGCTGGGCCTCAAGTGTCAGGGGTGCAAAACCCAGTGCAGAACCAGTAGGAGAGGAAAGCGCTTTGCCCTGGCTGCTTCTGCGGGCTGTGGCAAGGGCTGCTGGAACCCCCGCCGAGGTTCCCCGCCACGGGCGCTGCCCGGGATCCCACCGCAGGCTTTGCCACGAAACTAATTGGAGTTTTATAGGAGTCCAAGCTGGAAGACACCCAAGCCCTTGAGAGCACAGTTATTATTATTACTATAATAATAGTTTGCATTTTTGTTGCCCCAGACGATATTTTTGCCCTGCACCTGCAGCCCGCTTGGCTTTTGCACTTTATTCCCCCTTGGATCAGGCTGCCGGCGCCCCCCAGACWCCCCCGGGAGCTGCCGCGGATGCCCATGGCAGCAAGAGGGGCGGAGAGCAGCAGCGACGGGCGYGTTCCCGGCATGCGCCAGCTCGGCCCGTTCCCAGCATCCGCGCGGGGCGTGGAGAGACAAGGCAAAACCCAACRCCCTGCCCTGGCGCAGGGGCGCCCACGCGGCGCTGCCACCCGCCGAACGGGGCCGGGGAGGTGGCACAGAGCGCGCCACGCTCCCCGCCGCGCTGCCCAGCCGGCTGGCGCCGCCGCCGCTCTGCGCCCTCCGCGCGTGCTGCGCTTTTYGCCTGGGCAAAGGGCCAAGGGGAGAGAAAACCATCAATCGCGGGCGACAAATAGAGGCCGCCCAGAGCAGGCGCGAGCCCCTGCGCTCATTTATTTCCCCGAAGAGTAAACAGCAGCCAGTGCGAGCGGAGGGGCAGCGAGCGCCGGCRCACGGGAAGGCGACGGGGAGGGAGCCCCTGGCACCCTCGGGCATCGTGGATATTCACCCCCAGCTCGTCCCGGTTCCGGTTTTGGCTGATCCAGTTACATCAGAAGGTCGCGAGCCTTAAAAAGTAGGGAATTGTTTGGGAACTGACACGGCCAAGCGCGGGGCACCAGCAGGGCCCTGCAGYGCCAGGCTTGGTCCCAACAGCGGCACGTCGCCGGACAGCAGCTTCCAAACGCTGCCGTGGCACCCAAACAGCAGGCGCTTGGTGCCAAACCCGCCCCGCTCCAGCCTGCCTGTTTGCACCTCTGGCACATTCAGCGAGTGCAGCAAAAGGGGATGGCCCTGCATGTGGGGCACGGGCATCCACATAACCCAAGGGGCGCACGAAACGCGCCGAGCACAGGTGCAAAACTCCCTGTCCGTGCGCCTGGGGGTGTGCAGTGCAGCCTGTGGGTGCCCGAACCTCCCTGCACATGTGCAACACGGCCTGTGTATCTGCAAAACGCTCTGCATAAGAGCAACAGGCCCTGCATGAGTGCGAAACAGCTGGCACGCATGCAGCACATCCCATGTGTGCGCAATGCCCCCTGCACACACGCAGCCTTCGCTGCACGTGGGGAGCATGTCCTGTCCCTGTGTAACACACGCCATATAGGTGCAAAACACCCTGGAGAGGCACAGCGTGCTCCACACAAGCACAGGACACCCTGCACGCGTGCAGCACGCCCTCTTTGTATGCACCATACCCCAYGGGCATGCCAAACGCTCTGCAATATGGTGTGGGCGAGTGCAACACCCTCCATACGTGTGCACAACACCCTGCCCAGGCGCAAAGCACCCTGCAGGAGTGCAGCACATCCTGCATGTGCAGCTCCATCAGAGCCTCCTGCGCCTCCGCAGCTCCGCCTGTAGCCCTGCACCATTACGCGGCACGAGGACAYGGCACCCCAAGCAGTACTACAAGGAGCAGGCACCAACTCGAGGTACATACAGAGCATCCAGGTCTCTTCACTGGGACGTTCCCAAGCCGGTGCCGGGCGAGCTCAGCCCCGGTGGGGAGGCCACTGCCGCCCTCCTGCTGCATCCCCACGCCGGGGCCCGCTCACACGCAGCCGCACTCCTTAGCCGACAGCTCGTTCACGGTGTAGTAGCGGTTGTAGGTGTCCAGAAAGGAGACGTCGTCGTCGTAGGCCAGCGGCCGGCAGCAGGGCCGGGCCCGCACCTTCTCCTTGCGGATGCGGCGGCTGCTCCGCATGCTGCGCAGCGACAGGTCGTAGCTGCGCAGGGCGCCGTCGCAAGTGCCGCTGCAGTAGCGGAAGAGCACCGTCTCGTCCGACTCGTAGCCCAGGCCCAGCTCGCTGACGCTCACCTCGAGCTGCTGCAGGGCGCAGGGCTTGTGGCGGGCGCGCGCCCGCTTGGCCCGCCCGCCCGCCTTGGCGCCGCGCCGCCGCTCCACCAGCGCGCCCAGGAGCCGCCGCAGCTCGCCCTCCGTGTAGCTCTCCAGCAAGGCACCGTCTGCAAGAGGAAGGGGCCGCTGTGAAGCCGACGCTCTGCGCRCTGAACCCGCTCACCCCCCACAAGCCTCTTTTTTTTGGTCTTTTTAATGCTTTTTCAACATCAAGCGCTAGGGGCTTGGTTTGTGGCTGCTCGGGGACAYGGCTCTGTCGTGCGGCACTGTGGGGCTCTGCAAATGGGACACCCCAAAATCAGTGCCAGGCTTGGCACCGCATTGCAGGCAGGAGCAAAGTGTGCCCATGGGGTTGCAAAGACGGTGCAAGGAGGAGCAAAGCATGCCCACGGGGCTGCAGACAGAGCTGGTGTGCGGAGGGGTCGAGCATGCCCGCAGGGCTGCAAAGAAGGTGCAAGGAGAAGCAAAGAGAGCCTGAGGGGCTGCAGTGCAGGGTGGGGAGCAGTGAACCATGCCCATGGGGTTGCAAAGCGGTGTGAGGAGCAGTGAAGCTTGTGCGTGGGGCTGCAAAGGCCATGCAAGGAGCAGCAAAGCATGCGGATGGGGTTGCAACGCCAGGGACGGAGCAGCCTGGCGGGTTGCAAAGCTCCGTGGCTACCCAGAAGCAGGAGCTGCACCGCTCTCATCCCCAGATAAAATTTCCCATTGCTTTTGCAGCAGACATCGCATGTGGCCATGGGCATTTTCTGGGCACCTCAGAACCCACCAGGCTGGTGCACAAATGCATCCCCCACTGCAAAAACACTTCWTTGCCCTTCCTGCCTTATTTTTCTCCCCTCTGCCCTCAGCAGATCTTCCCTGGATGGAACCTCATGAGACAGCTTATCACTGCTTCCRAAGCCCTCCTCGGGTTCAGGAGGGAAGCAAGGATGTGTGCAAGGCGCTGAAACCTGTGACCGCTGAGGGAAGCACCCCTCCCTAATGCTCTGGTTGCCCCAAAGTAATGCCGAAAGCCAAAACTAAAGTTAATAAAAAAGGCATTTGGAGTTAGAAAGTGCTTTGGCAGCATTGGGATGAGTTGCACAGATKCGGTTCCTGCTGCTGTCGGCTTGGAGGAGGCTTTGGCGTGCAAAGCCGTGCCCCTCGCGCGGGCTTTTGCGCAGAGAAGCCTTTTTTGCAACCTGCAGGACCCGTTGCAGGATGCTTTGCAAGATGCATCCTAGTCCGGAGCGCTGCCAACCCTCACGGAGCTGCAAGGCCATCCCAAGCCTCCTCCACGCGCTCCGCCGGACCCTGCGGCCAGACTGAGCCYGGGAACCCAGGCTGGAGCCCTGGGGGCCGCAGTCACCCGGCACGAGCTGCAGTGCACCGGGTGCAGCCTGGCGCCCTCCCCGGCCGGGGCGCTGGGGGGACCGGCGCGYGGGGGCCACTTACACTGGGAGAGCAGCGAGCCGGGGCGGTCCAGGGCCCGTGGGGATCTCCGTGGAGCCGCCGGCGGCGAGGAGGAGGAGGAGGATGCCCGCGAGGCTGGCGAGGAAGGCACGGGGCTGTATTTCCGGCTCCCGTTGAGCATGTCTCTACAAACTAAAATGGATAACAGGGAACTGAGGAGCATCGATGCAATGGCTGCAAACTTCCATACCTTCATCTTAGAGCAAGTCAGAACATTGAAACTCTGTAAAACAGGCAAAACAGATATCCTTATTACGCGGCCGCCCCCCTCCCCGCAGCACCGCTGTCCCTCCCCACCGGCGTGACCCCCCGCTGCGCCTCGCCTGGCCCTCGCCTCACCCTGCCGCTCTCCTGGTGCTGCAATGGGGAAACTGAGGCACGGAGGCTGCCCGGGGCGAGAGCGGCTCGGGGCAACGGCCGGTGCTGTGGCCAGGGSGGGAAGTGCAGAGCACCAAGAGAGGTCCAGGTGCGTCGCCCTGCGAGCCCTGCACGGGCTGCAGCTGCAGGGAGCCGGGAATTCGGCGGCAGGGCCTGTTTGGGGACGGCGGCAGCCCCCATGGACAGCACCGGCGTGTCGGGGGCTTGAGGGGCTCCAGGGATCAGGTGCAGCGGCCCAATATCCTCCAGCCTTCCCCCCCGGCCATCTCCCTGCCCTCCTTCCTGGCAAGTTTGCACAAGTGCCTGGGTCCGGCCTTGAGCCGCCCATCGACCCCCTCCCTTTATCTCTGTTTTTGCATCTTGGCTCCTTGCCCACACCAAATGTTTCTTTCTTTTTTTTTTTTTTTTTCTGAATAAATGCAAAGAAAAGGAAAAAATAAAATAAAAAGGGGGAAGGAAAAAAAGAATACAAACAGCCTAGCAATATTTGCCAAAAGAATTTAGTGGCGGAGGGGGGGGAAATGTTTATTTGAAGTGGGAATTTGACATGTTTGCTCTCACCGTTGCGGCAGGGAATGACTGAAAGGAGTCGGGCGGCTGTGCCATCAAGAGTGACCCTGGGGCTTGCAAAGGACGCAGCTCAGCCCACGGGAGCTACCAGGGCCACTAAATGCCCAGGAGGGGCCCAAGCTAAGGGAATAATCCGGACCCAGCCTCGAGGCTGCAAACGGGGCTGTAAACAAGGCCAAGCTGGAAAAAAGAATAGTTTGGCCATATAAGGCGTGGAGCTGCCGCAATCCCGCGCAGTCCGAAGCGGCGGCGCTGGCCGGCGCGACGAGCCCCGGGAAGCGGCGCCGAGCGTCGACGCTCGGCGCGAGGCGACGGAGCTTTGCGGAGGCGAAGGGAACGAATCCACGATCCCAACGTTCGCCCCGTCCTCCCGCAGCAGCCAAAGCCAGGGAGCAAGCTCAGCTTAGCACGTCCCGCCGCGGGCTTTGCTGGGGCCCAGGCGTCCGGCGGCAGCGGGGCAGAGCTGGCTGCTTTTCTTGGCTCGGCCGCCGCGCATCCTTCCCGGGAGCTGCCAGCTCCGCAGCCCGCCTTGCTTTTCCAAGGGGATCCGCTTGCAATGTCAAAGCAACAAAGCCACCCGGGCGCCCTAAGTAAACTTCTCCGACGCTTAATTACCCTCGCTGTTTGGGGAGAAAAAACAAACAGAAAATATTAATCGCGGTGGCTTTCCAGGCCGGTTCTTCTTCCACAGCAGCTTCCCAGGGCYGGAGCGGCTGCTGAGCGTTACCCTGAAGAGCAGAACCGCTGTCGCCCATGAACCGGCTCCACGGCTCCACCACCGGCCACCGGCCCCACGGCTGCCCGGCCTGCCCTTTTTTTTTGCACTTTGGGGTTTTTTGCATCGCTTGGACCACGAGGACCCAGAGCAGCGGAGCGCTTGGTGCCGAGAGCCGCCGGAGGAGCCGGAGGCCTCGGTGGGACGCAGGGGAGAGTTTCCACCTGCCGCTCTGTTTATTTTAGCGCCTTACATGGGAGCCAAGCGGCTTTGAAATCCCGCCTCGGCATGAGTCACCCCGCAGGAATTACACCGCTTCCAGGCAGGCGGCACTGGGGCAGAGCGGCTCGGGGTCCGCGCGGAGCGGCTCCTCCGGCGGCAGCCGCGAACGGGAGCCGCAGCCGGCACCCGCGCACCGCTTCCCTGCCGGAGAAGGAAGCCGCTGGGGCAGCTGCTGGGAGCCGACACGGATGCCGGGGCACTGCCACCAGGTCTGGGCTTGTTTTGGAGGGRAAAATGGCAAAAATTCTCCAGGAATTGCCCTGCTTGCAGTCCAAAACACCCGCATTTTACCCCAGTTGGTGGTCTTGGTGGCAGTCATTCCAAAATGCCAGGACTGGTCCCAAAATGGGGTACTTTCAAAGGAAAAAAGCCCAAGTCCTGCTTGTGCTTCATCTCCTTTGAACATACGTGGTTTTATTGATACCTCCCAGGCTCCTGCAGCTTATTATGCTCCTATTTGTTCTGCTTGTTATTTAATGGTCGGAGCCTCCAGCCAGTGCCTGGACGTGCCGTTGGGAAGGCGCCAGCGAGGCTGCTGGCCAAGCGCGCAGCGCCGGGAGCGCCRGGAGCGCGCGGCGACGTTCCCGTYGTGCGGGCACAACCCGCTCCCATTCCCCGACTTTCCCTGGGCGCCTACCCTGCCATCCCAGGAGGTCCCCACTGCCTTCCATGCTGTTAATTCCACCAAACGCGGAGCAGATGGGAGCCGCCCGTCCCCCCCGGCGCGGCATCTGGAGCGCAGGGATCTCTGCTTTTCCCGCCACCTCCTCATCCTCCCCTC